ACATTTAAGACTAATTTATTCTGGACGTTTCGTCGATGTTGAATTTCCTGCAAGTGCACTTCACGTATAGAAAAACTTCGTGAGAACTACGATTACTTCTTAGTTAAAAGTCGCGTTATTTATTATGTATACCAAGTCAAACTCATTATTCCGCAGAACACGTAGTTTTTAAGAAACTTAGCGCTAGACCTCTACAGAGCGAATCATGAATTAAAGTTCATACGTATTGAAATGACAAAATAACGTAATTTTTAGTAATTTCCACTGAGTTCAATATTTCCCTATAGGGCCAATGTTAATTCCGCTATTTGACTAGACTAGGGGAATTTTACGCCGCGAGATTGAAATATCGATGCCTTGTTGCCATATTTTTAGTCTCAAAACTACGCTACTTGTAATTGACTAAAATTTGTTGTTTTTGTAACTTTTCCAGCCATTTTTGTCTTGTCTTTTTCGGGAGACAGTTCTGGAGTTATATCAGTACTAAATGGTTCTGAAGCATTCTAAATAATTATACAGTTCGAAATCGTTCTGGAGCGTTCTAAATTTATAATCCCACTGTATAAAATGCGTCAGCAATTAACGGTAAAATCTAATTATTGTTTCCACCTTCTCGGCGTTTTAACGTCGATTCACACTTCGGCGTTTCGGCGCCCTTACGAGTCGCAACTTGTAATTTAGGAAAATGATTGATTTATCACTCGAAAAGGTTCGAAACGGCCCGCGGGCGCTGAATAAACGCCTTAAATTTGGACCTCGGCCGAAAACCGACGTGGCGCCAGTCTACTACATAGTAGACCCTATGGAGAGGTCAAGATCGAATTAACATCAGCAGCGTACACGTTATCGAAATAAGCCCTAAATCATATACACCCAAATATTTTTTTTTATAAAACGATACTAATTATGGACCTTTTGGTTTTCTAGGGGGTATGTTTAATTTGAATGTAATAAATAGAGCCTCTGGAAAATAATTACACAATAAAACTTTGCATTTTTCAATATATTTCGCCAATATTCCTTCTGAGAACTCTTAATACAGTGTTCTTAACGCGGGGTTCTAGAGCATTCTAAATGGTTCTAGACCATTTTAAATGACTCGGAAGCGTTCTAAATGATTATGGAGTGTTCTAAATGGTTCTGGAGCGTTCTAAACGGTTCTATAGCGATCTAAATGGTTTTAGAGAGTTCTAAATAATTCTAAACAGTTCTAAATGATTCTATCCCATTCTTATAATGGTCTTAATTTTTGAAATTTTAGCATTTTTTGTAATAATTTTGAAAAATGTTTCAGACAAAACTTATTTTGGTACTTATTTTGATGCCAGGATTCCAAATCCTCAATAAAAATAAGGGTCTCCATTAAAATTTTTAAAATTAACCCCCCCTCCCCCTTAAGGGGTGGGGTAGCTAATTGACATTGGTATCAATGGATAGCCCTTGAAGAATTATTGGATGTGTGTTTGTTTTTTCAATTTTTCATTCGCACCTGAATTTGACAGAAAATCGACCGTTTCCATAATTTTTGATCACCCTGTATATCTTATCTTTATCTTTTTGTAATAATTGCAAAAAAATTTATAATATCTGGTTGTTTCTGATTAATCGAACATAAACGCATTATAAGGGCATATTTTGAAGGTTTTTAGTGCACATTTTGCAAATTTTTGTGCATATTTTCCAAGCTCTATTAATAAACATATTATATTTTGATTTTTGATGTATGGACTATGCATATCAATAAGTCAGTTGCTAATAGTGTAATAAAAGCGACAAAATAACTGCTAAAGCGTAGATTGAGCAAGGCAGTGAATGGTCGAGTAATTTATCGCAGAAAAACGTCGAATAAAGTTTCTAATTACCGGTAATAAACGGAGTGAGCGAGTGTAAGTACATTAACTAGTGAAAAATCAGAAAAATAACTATTAAAACGTTAAATCCAAGGTATCCAATTAGAAGCAATAAACTAAACTAAAAGAAATAAATATTACTAAGTATTGAAAATCGATTAATCCAGGAAAACGCATATATACTGAGTGACAAAAGTAAAAGAACACCAAGAAGCAAATTTTATTTTTCATTCAAACTGTAGAGAGTGTGTATAGCACCACGGTGGTGCAACACATTATTAATTTTTTTTGTTGTTGTTAATTTGATGAATTAATTTTAATCATTTGTTTATTTTTCTCTTATACATGTAACTAGAATAAATGGTTAAATTTCAATAATTATTTTTTGGTGTTCTTTTACTTTTGTCACTCAGTATATTTTCAAAACTACATAGTAGAATATCCATCAATTTAGGCATAAACAGTTTATCGGGTACAAACTCACCTCTTATTCCTGTAGGTTTTTTTTTTCTGGCATTATTTATCTCGTCGATTGGTGAGCAGGTTTACAGTACTTGGATATTATTATCATTCATCAAACAACGAACCGGAGTATCGAAGATCCCAATCGATTAGGAGCCTCTTATTCTCATCCGTTGCGGCACCCTTTAACGCGCTGAAAATCATTCGAACCACTATTTAAATATGATTTACAACTCCGTTGGAATCGAACATGCGACTAATATCGAGCTCATTGGCGTGGCGTATACGGGAAAATTTAATTCGATCTTATCGCAAATTTATTTTCCTAATTTCGACAATTACTCCTTATTTATAAAAATGAAGCATTTACTTTGAAGTAAAAGGTAGGGAGGCGAAAGGTAAGAGGAAAAGGTTTTGCTCTGATCTATATTCATAATTTTGGCCTTTTTATTGCAAGGAAACCCTTCGAAATGATTCTGGAGTGTTCTAGATTGATCTAAACAGTTCTAAGAGATTCTACACAGTTCTAAATGATTCTAGACACTTCTTGACGATTCCAGACAGTTCTAAATTGTTCTGAAGCATTCCAGATTGTTCTAGACAGTTCTAAATGATTCTGTAGCGTTTTAAACAATTCTAGATGATTCTGGAACGTTCTAAATAAATGGTTCTAGACAGTTCTACAGTAAATGCACTCTGTCGGCCGAAACAAACTGGGAAAACAGCCAAAATACACAAAAATTTTACTTTACAAGCTGTGTGGTGGCTGAATAACTACTGAAAAGATTGTGAGAAGTTGCTATGAACCTATAGACTTCATTTTTACAAGCGAATCCTTTTCTTTTTAAGCAAATGTTTCTTTTTATAAATACGGAAAACATAAAACCTTCTGCATTTTAAAGGAACTGCAGGGTCCTCGAAGCAAAACCTCTCTTCTTTCACTTTTGTTTATGCATATACCTTGAAGAAATTCCTTCATTTTTTGAAAGCAAAAATGTATGCTTCTTCTTATAAATTCGGCCTATATCGTATTCAAGTGTAAATAACTCAATTTTCGTCTGAATAAATTCATTTCATTGCCAGGTCTAGCCTGTAACCTAAAAAATTTAGATGTTTTTGAACCCAAGCGAAACGCACTCGGTTTTAACTTGAATTGCACTTGATACATATAATTATTATTTACTTACCATTGGCGAAATTGCTAAGTGGAACAATGTCGATTTAAAATGCAGTGAAATCGTGAGTAAAATAATAAAAATGGAAAGTAACTAACGAGATAAACATAACCCGGAGGTTTGCCACACACGTATGAGCACGAAGATATTTTTGAAATTGAAGTTTTCTAGAAAATTCACCGTTATCGAAACGTCTGTAATTTGCGTGGAACGAATTAAAATCGAGTCGATTTTAACGATGTAAAAATTTCAACAAATCGTATATTTGAGCAAGCAAAAATCGCGAAAATTAATTCAACATTCGGTATCTAAATGAGTAATCTCCGTGTCAACACTGCTGAATATTCCCCATACACTTAATTTACAAAAGAAGCCTCTTCCTGTTCCCACGTCTGAATTGTATACAGAGCGTTAACGGTGCTTTGGTCATTTTCCTTTAAAGCACCACTTCAAGCATTCAAGTAGCAACAAAAAGACCAATGTGCACGTAATACACATTAAACCTGTACTTGTATTTTCTTTTATCTTTATTCGTCTTTTGTCTTGCACTTACCCGTATATTTACAGTTTCGTTTTCTCGGCATTACGATTACATATTTCGCAGGTTTTTACAAACTCATTAGGCCGTAAATATAAGAAGGAGCATAACCCTTTGCTTCCAAAAAATGAAGCAATAGCTTCAAGGTATATGCATAAAATGAAGTAAAGGAGGAGAGTTTGTGCTTCGAGGGCACTGCTGTTGCTTTAAACGAAGAGTTTTCTGTTTAAATTTTCACAATCTTTTCAGTAGTTACTCAACCACCACACAGCTTGTAACGTAAATTTTTTTGTGTATTTTGGCTGTGTTTCCCCAGTTTGTTATGGCTGACAGTGTGCATTTATGTTATAACTGTCTATAATCATTTAAACGCTCCAAAATGATTTAGAACTGTCTTAAATCGTTTAGAACTGTTTAGAACCATTAAGAAGGCTCCAGAATCATTTAGAACTGTCTAGAACAATCTGAAATGGTCCAAAAACATTTGAAAAGTCTAGAACCATTTAGAACTATCTAAGGCCATTTAGAACGCTCCAGAATCATCTAGAACTGACTACAATCATTTAGAATTAACTAGATCAATCTAGAACGCTCCAGAATCATTTAGAACTGTTTAGAACCATTCAGACACGGACACGTTTGGACTAGTTTGACGAAATCGCTAATCTCTGTATCAATTACTTTATTTTTATCCGAAGCGTTTCCTGGCAAGGAAACGCCGGAGATTATGAATATGGAGCAGACCAAAACCCTTTACTTCTAAGTAAATGCTTCATTTTTATGAAATAATAATAATCTGTATAAAATGAGGTATGAAAAAACTCGAATAATCCATTAATCAAAATTAACGCTAATAAACAAAAAACGAAATCGAAATTAAGGAGATCGCAAAACATACAATTAGAAAATAACAAAGTACGATTGCATTTTTATTAAGACTTATTGATATTGATTAAAAAATTACCAGTTACAAATCAATGCGTATCCGTACAATTGTTTAGTCCCTGAATGTAAATATCCTAATTGGGGTATCTGTCGGCCAAATGAAATTTGATTGATCGGGAATTGTTTCTTGTTCTACATGCTGGAATGATTGTCCTAGAAAATTTGAGAATTAGTTACAAGGTTTATAAAGGCAATAGGCCATATTTATAAAAATGAAGCATTTACATTGAAGGTAGAAGCAAAAGGTAAAACTAAAAGGTTTTGCTCTGATCCATATTCATTCTGATTCTGAATCGTTCTAAATTGACCTAGACAGTTATAAATGATTCTAGACAATTCTATATAATTCTGGGCCGATCTAAGTGGTTCTAGATTGTTCTAAATAATCCAATATGACTCTGGAGCGTTCTAAATGATTCTAGACAGTTCTAAATGATTCTGTAGTGTTCTAGATTGATCTAGACAGTTCTAAATAATTCTAGAGCGTTCTAAATGTTTCTAGACAGTTTAAAATGGTGTTCTGGATGATAATTATGGGGATGATTATGGAGCATTCCAGATTATTGCAGACAGTTCTATATGATTTTGAAGCCTTCTAAATAAACAGTTTAAAATCGTTCTACAGTTCTAAATGGTTCTAGCCTATTTAATGATTTTGGAGCATTCAAGATTGGTCTAGACAGTTCTACATGAATCAAAACAAATCTAAATGATTCAAGTTCTAGATGATTCTGATACATTCTAAATGGTTCTAGGCAGTTCTAACACAAATGCACCCTGTCAGCTATAACAAACTGGGAAAACACAGCCAAAATACACAAAAATTTTACATTACAAGCTGTGTGGAGGTTGAGTAACTACTGAAAAGTTTGTGGAAAATTGCTAAGAACCTAGATTCCATTTTTACAAGCAAATGCTTCTTTTTATAAATACGGCCTAATGAGTGTTGTCTTACTTGCTAAATGTAAGAATCCTTCGAGGGTTTCTACGTTTCGTTCCGTACACGAAAAAATGAATTTTTTAACACCGCAAAATTCCTTCAATCGTCTCATGGCGTTTAATAACGATTGAAATAGGTCTTTGTCATATATAATATCCGCTCCTATAACAACATCTATATTTCCCAGGTCCTTACAAATTTCCATGTCAAAATCTTCCCAAGGGAGGTTGAAAACGCTAACGTTCTTACGGGTGCATAAAACTTTCAAAAACTTGTAATTATCAACAGTACTTGAAGTGTCTACTAAATTAATTTCTGTATTTTCGCGTAAGTTTTCTAGGACAGTTTCGTGGCAATCTGTGAGGTAGATTTGCTTTGCTTCGCAGGTTTTTGATAAAACCAGCCCTGTTAAGCCTATTCCTGAGCCTAATTCCAATACAATTTTTTCGTTAAATTGATCTTTATTGTAGATAATCCATTCGGAGAGCGCTAGAGATGCCTGAAAAAATATTAAATTTAACGATTTTGATATAGGTTGATTCAATTTAGTTTGCAATATAGCTTATACATGTAATATACAGTTGGTGCAAAACAATCAATGCGCGTCACTTATAATTTACTACGTCACAAGTAGGCAGCGTTGCTAAACTGCGGACGTCTTCACTTTTTATCATTTTCTATCATCCCTTGTTAATATTAAATTAAATTTTGTAGGTATTAAGCATTATCTATTTTGTGTATTTATTTTTAAAAGTTGGGCACAACGCTTGGTAAGTATGACGACAGTAAGTGACGTGCATTGATATTTGTTTTGCGCCAACTGTACATGTATGTAGGCCATGGGTTTAATAAAGACAAATTCCTTTAGGCACTTAAAAATGAAAAAGAAGGAGTGATATTGTGTCATTACAACTTTTCACTATGACAAGTGTCATTTTAATAATCATTCTCTGTTCAACTCATTGAAATGACCAGACCGTATTGCAAACCATGAACCAAGGTGTAAACATTTGGTTTTTATTTAACCTGCCAGGTCCTTAAACCAGTCGTTCCTTGTGAAATTAAATTATTGCTTTCTTTCAATGTAATTATATTACAATCGTTCAAATAGTAATGTTTGTAATTTTTAAATGAATCTACTGCTGCTACCAAGTGGCCGTATACTTCGTAAACTCCATCATGGATTACAGTTTCCTGTAATGAATTTTGCGAACTTTCTAATTTATTTATAACGTGTTTTAGGAATAACTTTTGGTAATTTAATTGTATGGGATATTTCTGTAGTAATTTTGATTTGACCGTTCTATTTAGAAGCTCTTCTTGCTCGTTTTCGTTCAAAATCGACTCAAAAATGTCCTAAAATTAGAAATGTTATTAATTTTTAGGTTAGAAGAGAATATGAATTTACTTACTTGCCAGTCGAATAAAGATAAAGGAAAAGCGCACATAAATTGTTTCGTTATTTTTTCTAATTTCTGTTCGTTCATTTTCACTTATTTCTAGTGTAACTAAGTTATTCCACATTTAAAGATTCACTAAATAACAGAAAACACTAACATAGCATGAAAAACCTGCCAATAGATGGCGCATTAAAAAAAATCTTTTCTTCTTTTTTTAATATGGATTCTTCTCTTCTTTCTAGGATAACCTCACTTCAAGTTTGAGTTGAGACTGTTGAGTACATTTATTCGTGTTATACATTTACAAATAGTTTAATAATTTTAATGTAACTTTATTCCCGGAAAACATGCGGTTTTCTTTAGTATTAAGGGTTATTAACAAGGATCAAATCGACAATTTAAAAATGGTTGTAGACAAGGTGAAATCCGAAGCACCGCAGTATTTATCGAAAATTAAGCAAGAGCAGCAGAAAATCGTGTACGATAAACTCAACCACTTGAATAAATGGTACACTAAAATTATCGGTCTAGATGAAGTAAAAGTATACCAAGAGCGAGTCACGGGGTTGCAAGTACGTAGGAACAATGTTCGATACATGAATTAATACTGTTTAATTCCAGGAACAACTTCTACAAGCCCAAGCTAAACGCAGAGAAGTAAACAAGCATTTAACCGAGATCAGACAAAAATCACAAGAAATACAAAGCCAAATCCAACATGTAGATCGAAAAGAAAAGTTCGATGTGTATTGTCAACTTATTAATGATGAACGATCGGTAATACTTCAATGGATTCCTAAGATTAAACTGACTTAAAAAAAAAGTAATTTTATAAAGTATATATAAGAATTTCAGGTATTAAACATGGAACGGTCTGCATCGAATACATTCCAAGAGTACGATCAACTCGAGAGAGAGCTTTTTACCGCATTTACAAATGCCATTCGAGATTCGCAAGAAAAACAACGAGCCCAGTTAGAATATAGCAAGTACATTGGCGTGACATTAAGTCTTTTAGGATCATTCCTAGGTGAATAATTTAATTATTTTAACAAACAATTATGGCTGATTTCATGATAAAAAAAAAGTGTCCTTTAATATTATTCCTAATGTCAAACGGTTTCATAATACATGTAAAAAATTCCTTTAGGAATTTAAAGGATGCTTTAAATATATTTTAAAGTTTAGCTACCCTGAAAAGCGGTATAGTTGAACTAATCGGTAGATTTCCAAAAACTGCATTGGAAAAATGCACCCACCCCTAAAAATTAAATGTAGGTTTCTGTAAATTACATATTTATTAAATATTTTTAGCATTAGAAAATATATAGGGTGTTAATTTATACGAATGCCGATTCTTCAGGATGTGAATATTTGGGTTTATATTAATATATGTCCTAAACCTCTTTGTTTTCGAGTTTTTTTTGCGACAAAAATTATTTTTCTACTATTACCAGTGACGTCCACGTCCGAAATTTCATTAATATATCTAGAATAATAAGAAAATTATGATAGAAAAGTTATTAGTTATTATTTGTAAAACTGTAACATCCTGTAGCTCGAAAACTAAGAGGTTTAGGACATATTATGAAATAAACTTTTCTTCTTAAAATCGACCAAATTATCACATCCTGAAGTATCGACTCACAATTAGTTATCACCCTGTATGAGGGGATCCTTTAAAGGATCATTTAAGTTGATTATGAAATCGAATGCAATATTAAGAGATCATTTAAAGTTAAACTATACTTTATGTTTCATTATGAAATCAGCCGTTAATGAGTTACTTACGTTTTCAGCATTTGTTTACACGTTTTTTTGGAAACACGATTTAAAGAAATACATTCACCAAGAAATATCGTCCCTGCAACCAGCCTCTACTGCTACTGTAAATATTAGAAAAGAGGTTGAACCGATGCTGAATGCTCTTAGAAAAGAGATTATTTTGAACATCAAAAAACCTGCTGTGATTAAATATGAGTTACCAACTAATGAGCAATTAAACTCAAACGTTTGGATGTATGCTATAGGCGGAGCGGCAACTTGTGCTTTATTAGGAATTTTAATAAAAAGTTTTTAAGATTATACACCTTGGTTTATTTCAGTTTGCAAGATGGTCATTTCTATGAGTTGAACAAGGAAAGATTATTAAAATGACAGTTGTCAGAGTGAAAAGTTACAATGGCACAATATCACTCTTTCTTTTTCCTTTATAAGTGTCTAATGGAAGTTGTCTTTATTGGACACTTATTATAATACACTTCAGTTCAGTTTGCAATATGGTCATTTCTATGAGTTGAACAAGGAAAGATTATTAAAATGACAGCTGTCAGAGTGTCTAATGGAAGTTGTCTTTATTGGACACTTATTATAATACACTTTGCTTCAGTTCAGTTTGCAAGATGGTCATTTCTATGAGTTGAACAAGGAAAGATTATTAAAATGACAGTTGTCAGAGTGAAAAGTCGGAATGACACACAATATCACTCTATTTTTTCTTTTATAATCGTCTAATGCTTAGACCAAATCTATTGTTTGGTTTATGGTCTAATGGAAGTTGTCGCACCCAGAAAGTGAATCAACTTGTACAATATATACAATTTAATTTATAACTTAAATTTTATAATATTACAAATCGTCAATTTTAAATTATCAACAAACATGATTAGATAAGTTCAAAAATGTAAAAACAACGTTAAAATAAAAATAAAGATACCAGCCAAAGCCCTATAATAGCAATGCTAGCAGAAATGTGCTGGCTGCTGTTAACTTGCATTGTTTCATTTATCCAAGGGTAAAAACTTGTTAGTCTGGTAAAAACGGATGGATATCCAAGCAAACAATTGCTCGGTCCGAATGAAACCAACCCAACTAAGGTATTTCCGACAATCAAAGGACCTCCGGAATCGCCTGAGCAGCTACTCTTTATATCTGTACCATCAGTACAAAGATGGCTGCTTTTAATAACCTAGAAAATATGATTTCATAATTCAATTCCGGTTTTTGAAACAATTTTTACAGAAGAATACGCTGGATCTGAGTGTCGGCATTCCGCATTCGACATAATTCTCACGTTAACTTGCATCAGTACATCAGATTCTCTACCGGATTCGGTTATGCCCCATCCCAGTATCGTGCCAGTTTGGCCATCATACTTACTCGTACCTTAATGTAGAGAAATAACATTAAATTATTCTGCAATTATAACGTGGAGTTATCTTGCCTGAAGCTACTTGTATTAGCCCGACATTTTTATTAAAGCTGGCACTATCTGGCAATTTTATTAAACCAATATCGTTTTGAAGTGTCCTCTTGTCCCAATCTTTGTGAATAAATAAAGCCTGTGATAGGAATATTTGACGACTGTTTTCGTGATCTTGGGATTGATTATAAGCCCCTAAAAGTACTTCTACCTTCGAAGGGTTTCTACAAATTTTAACCAATTATTATTTATTACAACATCACTAATAACGGCCATGTTAGTAATTCACCAATGCTGTGAAATCGCTAACAGAGAGATAAGCTCTTATCAATGTGATAACGTCATATTTTGGCATTCACTAATGTCAGTTAATACTTAACAGTCAGATAAAAGTAACAGAGCAAAATCGAACTGGTAAAAGAAGTACCTAACAGACTGATAACTTCAATCCAAATGTCGAAATTGTCAAAGTTTTTACGACTATTTCAGTGACATATTACATTTTAATTTTATACCTACCTAACTATAGTGGAGTAGTTAAATAGAATAGTTTCACGTAAGAATTTTAGTTTCAATTGTTCAATTTATCTTCCGAAGATAGCGATAGAAATATTTATTAAATAGATAGAAATACTTCGAAATATAATTTAAAATAGGTTCAGATTGAAGAGAAAGATTAGGCTTGGGACGGATGGAATAACCGCTGGAATACGGTTATTATAGTATTCCTTCTTTAAATATTCAAATTTGGCATTTTTATTAATGTAGTAATGTGTGGCTATGAGTTTCGCATGAAGTTTCAGGAACTATAACATTACTCGTCTGTTTACTATCAGTTGCTTCAAAAATCGTGGTGAATAACAAACATTTTTAACCGACTGTTAAATTTTATCAGACTGACAGTTTGATAAGCCAGTTAGACAGTTTGATCAGGTTGATAAGCCGAAATTGGTGAATATAGGCGTAATAACTTATTAATCAAATCCATACTTTTCGATGCAATGAGCCGCAGTCAGCACCCATTTTTCGTTTATCAAACTACCTCCACATAAAGCAACCAAATCCCCATAATAAATGTAAAGAGCTGCTTGGAAAGGGTACTTATTGGGTGGTTCAACCGCCTCACCACCGATTATCCTGAGTTTACCGAGTTTCCTGTGCGGAGAAAATGAGAAGAAACCGGAACTTTCCAGCTGAAATCGATACTTTATAATGACTGGGATTTCTTGGAGTTGTGATTACAAGTTTACCTGCACACTCGAGCACAAAACACTGCCGAAAATTATCAATAATTCGAAAATTTTTTTCATTTTTGTTGTAATGAAAAATGTTGTGAAATCGATATGTTAAAGAAACGTTGCAACTGGCTTAAATTAAACAACTAAATATATCTGCGATTGTCGGATCATTTTATTTACTTTATATAATTTTTTTATCTATATTTTATTATCGTATAGGTATAGTGTATTATTTATTTGAAATTAATCGATTATCATAGGAAAAGAAATAGGTAGTTACTATTATACATTCATCTCATAAATTTAAATCGATCAAAGTCTCATTAGATATCAAAATGGATAAAAAAAATCATTATGGAGATTTTTGGTTAATTATATTATTATTGATATTGTTGTGAATCGATTTCCTTTTCTATTTAGCATTTGCCTAATTAAAATGTATAGCAATTAACCAAAATCGGGTTTCGCCTCATTTTCATTAATAATAAACATAATTAATATCAGACAAATTATCAATTAATAAACTATTTAAAAAAAACATCGTTCTAAAGTACAATAATCGCTGGTAAATTGCTTTCAAATTACTAAATTATTTTAAATGGGTTACTATGAATTTACTATAAAAAAATAAAACTAATTTACAATTTTTCCTCTCAATTAAATTTCATTCTACGAAAAAAGCGTAGTAGAAAAATCAATTTAACGCGATATAAAACTATGGGGGGTCGCACGATTGGAAAAGTGACATTATAAATATTATGACCCTAATTCGCGCTGAATCGGAAGAATTTTACGCATGTGTATTCGCATTCAGAGCGTAAAAACAGTTGTAATATTTTCGAGCATTTCCATACATATAAATTAATCATCAGTTCGAAGGCGAAACGCCTGTGAATTGTCGGTCCCGTTTTCATAATTGCTAATTTTTTAATTACTCTTCGAAAATCGTTATTTTTAACAAGTTATTGATGTATCGAAACGTTCCCGGCAAATTTTACGCGCCGAATTGTTCTTGTTTAATGTTGCTCAACGATGAAATCTCTAAAACGAACAATTACATTATAATTGGCGGTGTAATAAATGACATAACAAACTTATAAGCGAATAAAGTAGGTGTATTGATAAATAATCAGTTCACTTTATACCATAATTAGCCGATATTAATTTTACCGGAAAAAGAAATTCCAAATTTTCGATTTCCCATCAACACGTTTTTCGAGCGGATACCAAAACGATTAGGAAAAATAACCGGAGTTGATACGTCAACGAAAATTCCGGTTTTATGATTTTTACAACGAGGAATACACACATTATTTTATTATCTCGCTGATGAGCATTTAGTCGGGCTATTATAATTCGATTTTAATTGTCGGGATGACTGCGTATGTAACATCTCTTAATTTATTACAGTCGTTTCTTTTTCAGTTTTCCTTAAACGACTAATATAATATGTCCGTTTTATGTTGCGTGGAACTACTCAAGGATTATGTTCAAATGGTCAAAAAATAAGTATCTAATAAAGCGAATTATGACCTAACAAAAAATGTACGATTAAAAGAGATTTTTTTTTTAATTTATCGATTATTATTGTTTGATGTAAATATCAAGGCAAAGTATATAACTAAGGTTTATCTTGGGTTTACAGATACGTGATATTGCAGGTAATAAATGCTATTAATTAATCCATAAAAAGGTTTATTAAGGAGGTTCCACATTTAATAACATTGCTATATAGCAAATGTAGACCCTGCTTAAGAGAAAAGTGATTGACAAGTATTTAATTTTACTAAAAACCTTGAAGAGAAATGGCAGAACATCCTGAAAATTGCTATGAAACCATTGTAAAGAATTATTTAAAATTATAAAAAACCGAGGGGGTATCAAGCGTAAGGGGCCTCGAAGAAGACCTCGCTAAATCAAAGGTTAATAGTCGTTACAAATTTCAAACAAAATTCTACTAAAAAAAAATAAATAAATAGCAAAACCACAAGTACGTACACCTACGGGCAAAAGCACGTGGAGCGTGGAGCTTAGGTTTAGGTTAGGTCAAGTCGAATTACAGGCGTACTGAAAACTGGTGTATGTAAAGTGGGGACGCTTTATAAAAGTTTTTCTCTCGAATCCGACGAATTAAATCTTGGCGATCGAACTATCGCGAAAGCAACGAGCACTAGCGTGTCTTTCTATCGGGCTCTTGAAGGATAAATTCGATTACTTTCAAAAAAATATATATTTCGGAAATCAAATTCGGTTTTAGGACGGATAGGTGTTTATTTCTCGGTGTGATTTTTATTTCATAGTGACTGTGATAATTCTCTAATAGTCCTTACAAGGTATGTTATCTTATCTTTTTTTTATTTATTGGATAGTAAACATTTATCCCGCTGGTTAGTTTGCAATGTATATGTAGGTATGTTTTAAAATTGTGTTTTCTAAATAATTCTACACAATTCTGCAATTCTACATTACTATCGATTCTGAGAAACACTTTTACTTAATTAGAAATACAAATTATTGGTTAAAATAATGTTCGATTATTAAATCAATTATATGTCGAAGCAGTTATTATAACTAATTTAAATTATAAACTTTTTATTAAAAGTGCTTAATTTATTATTGTAGTTGTCAGAAATTAAAGTGTTCATATAAAACTACTTTCTGCACTTACACTATTTCAACATTATTATTGAATATGTATTTTTAGATTGCAATTTAAATCATTCTTTATTAGATAAGTGACTATAAATTACTGTTTCAATTTTATAACTTTTCAGCTCCAAATTATTTCCCATTATTTCTATTAAAAATTGGAAATGTTAATAAGCGTACACAGAAATATTTCCCTCTAATTGGCAAACCGGGCCCATAAAATTAATTACCCGCTATTAATTTCGATCTAAAATCCGATTTATCTGGAGTAAATGTAATTGAATGAAATTGACCTTAAACTTACCTAACTGTGTTGTTCAAGCTAATTGGAATAATTGCAAAGAAGCTAGATGTGTACTTACAAAGTACCCTCTGGTGATTATTTAATTATATCAAATGGCAAATCGGGACCGGAAAGAAGAAAATACTATCTACGAAATTTTCGTGCGGTTAGCTCCAGGCGAACATACCATAGTAGATACAAGTCGGTGTATTGTTTGTAAATTCTATATCTTCGAATCTAACGGTATGAATTTATAGTATTTTCGTTAATAAATTATAAATTATGGTCATCTTTCCTCGACCAGCCGAATAAGCCGAACGATTCGACCGGATTCTAATGCATGAAAATTAGTGAAAACTTCAACCGCTACTTTCACAATTATATTATATTATATTAATAATTTGGTTAATAACACGCGCAAGAAAGCTCATCAAATGGTCAATCGCCCACGGTATTCGCGACCCATGGACCTATGGATTTACGACCCTCGTTTATGGTACATTATTTAGCATAGCATAAAATAGGAATGTTGTGGAGACATGGAAAATAAAAATAAAAAAGAAATGAGTGGAGTATGAGATATGTATATTGCCTTGGAATTCCGGTGAATCCCCCTTAGTCCAGTCAAATTAGAAGAAAAGTTTATGGATACCTATATTGATCAAGAGAGCTAAGAATCGATTCTTGTCTTCGAACTCACCCCGTACTTTTGAGGGTTTACATTATTATTATAATAATTATGTTATTCGGAATTTTACTTAATTTCACTGGGCTAACTTCGAAATTGTGAGTAAAAGCAGACGAGGAACGTTTGTTTATGAATTAAAATTCAGGTAAATAAATAGTAGTTAGTATAAAATAATTATACATTCATTTTAGTAATACCGAATGTTTTGTTAAATTTATAACGAATTTAAAATACTGCAAACGTTTAAAATGTTTGTTTTTACCGATTCCTTGTTGTCATATAATTAATTTATTTAGGGTTCAAGACCATTTATAATACCAAACAGCTTAGGTATTTTCATCCTTTAATAAATGAATTATTAAAAATACGATTCATTCATATTCCACCGAACCACGTGGCTTCGAAAAAACCAGCTTTTAAGTAATAATTAATTCTACGATCAACATCTATTTCCGGCCTTCGGCATTGCAAAAAATTCGGGCGTAATGTATTCTAAAATTTAAAACAAATACGAAAAAAATTTAACACCCGACAGGTTTTTCCGTTGATGTAAGTGGGCAAATAAGAAAAATCGTCGACCGGTTTCTCGAGACGCGGTCCTCATAATCGAAAGTCATCCAATCGATTAGGTTCCATTTCGATTAGCCATATCGCCCGAAATAGCTCAATATTTATGTTTAATCTATCCATCACCCGGAGGCTTTCGCTATTCTTTTCGCACCGTACTCGAATTTACCTGCGGCAAGTACAGTTCGAGTTAATTCGAGTTTGCAGAAGGTGAAAAAAAAAACGAAAATATTAAATTGCACCTATGTCAGCATGTCACGGAATGTTTACTATCGTTATTTAATAATAAGGAGCATTAGCCATTCACATTGTCCGTCGAAACGTGTACATTTCGCTGTTCACACATCAAATGTTAGCAAATTAGCTTTAAACGAACGTGTAAAAATTATTTTAATAAATAATAAAAATTGCGCCTTGAAAGGTTAAATTGCGGATTTTTTTATGCAAAGTTCAAAGTTTTGCGATTTACAAAAATGTAGCAAATATTCGCGTACGTTTCGATTAATTGTGGAAGCGAACATCTAGATGTATTATTACAGTAACAAACGTATTTTTAAATTATTCGCCATGGCCACTTTCATAAATTTTGTTATGTACAGATCAGGAGGAATAGCTGGAGATAGAGTACGATGCGCAATGGATTTTACCAATAATTTGTCTTTTAAAAGTCGCGCAGACTGTACATATTTATCTATTGTTATCACTATTACAGTGTAGATGAATTAATTTTTATTTTATTGTTTATTGCTTATTTTACACCAATGATGATAAAAAATAGATGTTTGTTAAAAAAATCGTTCGAAATTGTCGAATAAGCTGAAAATATGAGTGCGTGTGTCGCAATTAAAGTAGGCATGTAAGAATTTTATACCGGACTTGTGTAAAAAATAATTATTATAATATTTAAATTAATGCTGAATAGATGAATTATTTAAATGCCAGATTTCGGACAAATTGATTTTCACCATATCGAAAATCATATTTATAAGTGGGCCAAGGATAAATTCGCAACGAAAAGAGTTTACTGGAAAAATGTTATTTTTGAAAATTTTCGTTAATACCTTTACATAATTTGTAAAAATATAGAGAAAAATTCAAAAATGTGATCGAAATTAATAGATTAGTAATAAATATAGACAACCTTTAAATTAATTAATTCGACTTGGCGATATTTCAAAAATAATTACGAAATTTTGCTCCGAGTCTTTTACAAATAAAAAAAATCTCCACTTAACCAATAATTAATTCTTTTAACGCAATCGTTTCGCTAATTTTATTTACGATGCCACACAATAAAAAAGGCATTACCTTTCAATTGAAGAAATATTTTATTCGAGCAGTAAATAAAAATGCAGTAAAATGATAGTATTTGAAATTTTTGGTATTTAAAATTTTTATAATTATCTATTATAATCATAAATTTTTTCAACCAATTTTCACACATGTTTTTTTTAATTGATTCAATTGATTTTGCTGAAAAAAGTTTATTTCGATGTTTTCAACATAAAATTAATTATTGTTTCAAAAACGCCTTTTATACCTGAATAATTCGTTTATTGAACCTTTTATACCTAGGTAAAAAATTAATTTACGATTAAAATGCTTCCTGAAATAATACCACAAGGTCAAATATCCTCTGCTGATTCTTTTTAGGAAATAACAAAAGGAATAATTATCATTTTTAAAGAAATAAAAGTGAGTTTGTTTGTTCGATAAAACTACGTAAGGTTATTGTCTTCTATACTACACAAGCATAAAAAATACTACATTATGTATGAATTATGTTCGGTATTTGTTATTTTTTTATTTATTATTCTAATAAATGCATCGCCAATTCAAGGTCTGAATTATTAAATAATCAAAAATATTGCTATAGTAATTTTTTTTCGTATCAAGGTTAAAGGAACTTTACAAGAATATACTTTAATCTTTCCATTTTTTTTAACTATTAAACATCCATTAATTAGAAAAATCCTGTTATTTATTTAACAAATAAACCACACAAATTGCATAGAATTTTTTAACAAAAACGCACGTTTCGTGAAACAAATTCCCGCGCATTATCGTTTAATGGTAATTGGTTCTATGACGACCTGTATACGGATAATAACTAGCCGGCCAACGATTTATAAATTTGCAGTTAAAAAATTAGCTTTCTAATGTCGAAATCGAAATCTATGGTATTCGGTTTTACGCATTTTCAAATAAGCGAAACCACCACAAGATTCTCCTCGGGCTATATCGCAGTTAATGCAAGTTCAATACATTTATTGATACATAACGTTTTCGTTGCTCGCCAGATCTATAATAAAGTTCATTATCATCTTCGGTATTTATCGAACAGGTTGTGGCAGATTTTTCCAGTTGTTTAGTTAAAAGCTTATTAATGCGAAGTTTAAAGGAATAGAAGAAAGTCCAGTGACCTGATCGAGTATACACTAAACATAGGTCGACTAGACATATCCAGAAACTGCCACAACTCGATTTTTTACGTATGGTGTAAAGGTGGGAACAAATTATCGAGTATAGAGATGTAGTAACATGCGTTACAGTAATAGTAGAGTTTCTTTGACTTTTCCCCGGATTCAGAAGTTTTTTATTACCAACTGGTTTTGTAACCAACGATTATATATTTTCGAATTTTAAACATGGCAACGTTGTTTATTTGAAACTTATAATTAAACAAGATGAAAATGAGGTTCTGAGACATTTTTAAATGATTCTGGAGCGTTCTAAATGAACCTAGAGAGTTCTAAATGATGATGGAGCGTTCGATCTAGATTGTTTAAGACAGTTCGAAATGATTCTAGAGCGTTCTAAGAGTCTGGTGAGTTCTAAATGGTTCTGGAGTATTCTAATTTGTTTTAGACAGTTCTTAATGGTTCCGGAGCGTTCTTAATGGTTCTAGCCAGATCTAGATGGTTCTGGAGCGTTCTAAATAGCTGAAGAATGACAAAAACTAACTTGATTTTCATCTTGTTTAAGATTCAAATAAGCAACGTTACCATGTCTAATATTCGGAAATATATTCGATTGGTTACAAAACCATATGATTATAAAAAATTTATGAATATGGGGGTTAGGAAAATAGGAAAATTGTACAAAATCCATTCGTCATACATGTGCAAATGATTCAGTGGGTATTT